TCATATAGGCGAGAGGCAAGATAGAAGGCGAGAGATGTCACAGAGACCAGAGCATGTGTGCGAGGCGCATCTGGTCGTATAGCGTGCGCGGGATGATGATTTCGAGAAAGAGCGCAAGGCCGAGTTGAGGGCGTGCTGCGAAAATGTTCGAGTAGGCCCTGGTAGGGCTGCTCGTACCAGGGGCCGGAGTAGAGGACGCCCCAGTAAAACGATGGTGACGAGCCACGGGTAGACAGTGATGGTGGTGTAGAAGAGGGAATGCAGCGCTTGCAGGGGCCGGGGGAAGGAGTCGAGCAGAGGGCGTGCGCGCAGCGCGTAGGTAAGCGTGTGGATGGCAGCAAAGGCAAAGTAGAAGCCCAGGCCCCAAAATGTAAGGATCGTGAAGAAGGAGAACTCGTCGACGGCGGCGTCGCACCCACGGGGGCCAGATAGGCAGTGACGGGCAATCAGATAAAATCGGGTGGTGAAGATGAAGATGCTCTGAAATCACGGCGGTTAGACCAATCTCAACGTTGGGGATCGCGTGTTCTGCAACAAGGAGGTCTTACAATTAGGGCGCGGCAGGCAAAAAGTACCCACGGCGACAGGAGCCATGAAGTTTCGAAGCGGTTGGAGGGATCCCAGAGGTCCCTGTCGAAGCGAAAGCCATCGGCCCATGATTTGCGCGACATGATTGCGGCGGCGAGGTGAAATGAATGGATGGAGGTGCCGACGCGTTGCTGCGACGTCGTCGCGATGCAAGTTTTGGAGGTTTGCACGCTGGCGCCCAATAACTTCTCAGGGTACTGCACGGGCTGAAGTAAATTGACAGCGGTGGGCCTTCAGCGATCTCTTGGCGGCCCTTGTACAGCATTCGCTCGTTATCTTGCTGATCCTAGCCTGCCATCCAATTGCTCGGCCGGATCTAAGAGCTTAATTGGGCACTTTCGGCCGAGTTATGCTCGAGTCGTCGAGCACTACCTGACTATACTCCAGCTCCAACTCCAGAAGACGGTTGCCTGACAACACCTGGCGGCGGGACCCATTCTGACTTGATGTACATGTATGACTGGATGAGGTTGCAAATTGGCATTAGCATTGGCATTGGCGTTGGCATTGGCGTTGGCAATGGTGTCATGGCTGGACATTGGGCCCCACTGGTGCTGGCGTTGAAGGCATACAGGCCACCGTGTACGCTGGTTGTGGCGGAGGTACAGGGCTCTGTCTACGTGCCGTAGCACCAACGTCGTGTTGGCAGTCTTGGTCCTGGTCCAGCTGTCTCAGAGGAGTCCTTTTTCGATGAGTGCGCCCAAGTGATCTCCAAAGTATGCGTTCGAGCCGTCATGGGACGAGCCTCCAACAGGCTACCCACGGTATTCACGGCAACGCAAACCCGATGGAGGGTCGTTGAGCAGTGAAACGGTGAAGGTGAATGGGCGGCTGCAGGTGCGAGCTGCAAGCCATCCAGTCAATAGAGCCAACGAAGCATCTGTGAGGAGGCCCTGAATCACTGTCCAGGGTTATTGTCGCGTCTGGCCGAAGCCCGACTGACGACTCGTGGGGTCCCGTTTCCTTTAATTGATGTGCCCACAACAGATGGACAGCCACTGGACGACGGGTCAACCGACATTGGACGAGACGAATCAGTCCAATATTTGGGGGCTGCTTGCAGAGGACGGCACAGAAACGGCATCATGTGCCAATGGCCAAGCTTGGTCTCGTCGTCATTTCATCTCCTTTCGGTCTCGTTCTTTTCTTCCTATGGCGGGGAGTGGGTGGATTCGGCTCGGAGGTTGGTGCTGGCGTTCGTTGGTCATAGTGCTATTACTGGTGCGATATGGCGCCGTCGAGGGCCTTGGCGGCGTGCTGGTGGAACTCACCCTGCTGGCCCGGGGAGGGGGGGGGGGGCAGTCATCGGGGTTCATCACCTCGGGATCAACTCAGAACCCGAGGGTCTGTTTCTTGGTCCAAAGCATTGGGTCAACTTCCTGCAGCAACCAGCAGTCAAGTATTCAATAGCCGTGTGAGCTGTGTCTTCTCGCTCGCCGCAGTGACCCGGGTCAGCAAGGCAACGCGCGATGCGCAAAGTTCAATCAATCAGCCAGTTGGCAGACACAGCGTGGGGACATCGATTTGAGCGGGCAGTTTGAGAGTTAGGAGAAGCGAGCTAGAGCTGAAGAACCTGGTGCTCAGTGCGTCGACGGTTCGCCGTCCGATGGTGCTGACTGGAAGTGTGACTCGTGTCAAGCTGGTGGGTGCGATTCGGTTGAAGCCGAGCAGACGAGGATCAGTGGCGACTGGTGTGTCGCCTACAGTCACTAGGGGCGGGAATATTAGATGAAGCCGCAATGAGGGTTTGACGAAGTCCAACCCAGTTCGACCAAGGTTTCCGTCCTCCACAGTCCGCAATCTCTCTGGTCGTAATTGAGCATCTCGATGAAGAGGGGAATGCACGATGCAGAGCATTGAGTCTGGAAGGCCAAGATATGCTATTCGACAAAGACTCGGGACGTTCGAGTGCCTCGAGGACATACCTGAAATAGAGAAGTTTCGCAAGTGCGAGGTACGGCCGGGAGTCCAGCCAGGAACATGGGAGGGAGGGAGAGGATGCTGGAGGGGCTGGGCCTGTTCGGTGACCTGGCGCATAAAGGTGAACACGAGATCAGCACACCGAAGCAGCCATTGCACGAGGTAAACTCTGGTCTCCGGGCGTTTCAGGGAACACCGAGGGATCGATCAGCATGCTCCTTGTGTCAAGGGCGTGTTTCCCACGTTGCCGGCAAGCGGCGGCACGCACCAAAAGAAGCAAACTTTCTGGCAGGACGACTGGAATGGCGATGAGACTCACGGAGGGGTCAATCGTGCATAAATCATCGACCCCCCCCCCCCCGGGTCCCCCTTTCCGAGCTTCTTCAGAGTTGAGGATCTGCGGCTGCGGCCCATGCTCCTCGATTCGTCGCTGGACGAACAAAACATTGGCAAGCCTACATGTACAGGCTGCGCGTGAACTGTTGCTCAGTGGTACTTGCTTCAGTGGCCAAGGACCCCCGAGAGAAGAGTGGCCGTCCCATGTTATGCACGTCTCGCAAGTTGTGCAGCACATGCAGCCTTCGTGTACATGTGCAATCTGTCGACCACCATGGCATGGGTACATGGTAAGGCAGGTGGAGGTGGGGAGGGAAAGGGGGGGTCGATGGTCAGGTCCAGCCCACTAGAATCCCCACATTCGGCCGTAGCTCATGCCTGGGCCGTGGTACAGGTGCCACCATAGCGAATGCAAGCGCGACTGACTTCTGTTCAGGCGGGCCAAGCGGACAAGAGCGGGCAGGAGATGGCTCCCAAGCTATTCCACATAGGATCGCCCCTTGTGTTACTTTGCATCAATCTTTGCTGCGTCTGCATCTGCATCTGCACGCTCAGGGGCACAGGCCCCAGAAGAGAGAGACGGTACCTCTGTCCAGGTACGGAAGTCAGGCTGCTTTCGCCCCTGACCCAGTCAGGGCCCCAGATCAGGACCCCGGGAACCCAGTGATGCCCATGGCCCTTCTAGGCAGGCCAGGCAGGGCCAAGCAGACCAACGAACGCAATGAGCACTGCAAGACGGAGGGGAAGAAGAGTGGCCCAAGACTCAGAATATGTCCGTCTGTTTGACCTCTTTTTTTTGCACCCCCTCATCCCCCCTTTGTCTGCCCTGCCTCTTGACCTGGAAACAAAGTCGTTTACTGTTGCATTGCGTCTTCACCCAACTCCCTATCCTCTGGTGTCTCGTTGTCTTTGTCCCCCCCCCCCCTCCATCCGCCGCCCAGCGTCGCTCGACCACCTCTCTTGCCGTCCTCGTCCATTTGGCGCAGCCAGCGGGAGCCCGCAGCAGCAGCTCACAACGCACCAGCCCTCTCTGCTTCGCCCCTCGCTTGCATTCCAGACGCCACACTCGCTTCGATAGCCCTCCAGCTGTCTCTCTGATCGGCCAAGGCCCGCGAAAGTTGTTGCTTTCTTTCAAACACCAACTCGCAATCGATCTCGCACACCGACGGTTGTCGAATCGCCCCGACTGGACTGCTCGCCTGTCATGAGGTGCGACGCCTTCTGAAGCCCGTACTACAAGGTCCCCCTAGGCGGCTTATCGACAAAACTCTGTCCTCTTTGCCCTCATCGACGATACAATCCAGCAGCGGTCGCAACCGCCGATACAAAATAGCGGCGGCTGGCTACACCACTGATCTGGGAGCGCACACGCCTAGAGTCACCGTCGCACAAATTCTGGTGGCCGTCGACCGGGTGTCACCAATCAACCTTGGTCCAGCAGCGACAGCTCCTCCCCTCCGAATACCCACCGAAGGACCCCGAGATACCCCAGCCATCGCCGCGCCCCGAACCGGCCATGGCCACTTCTGCCGACCCCTATCGCCTCTCCTTCGGCGCCAACGATGCCCTTGATCTCAGTCTTAACCTGCCCATAGGATTGCTTCCGCCTTCTTCAGGCGCGCCTCGCGACCATGAATCTGACGATGGTGACCATGACGAATTGCCTGTTTCGTGGGGCAAGGTGCCACCCATAGATGAACGGCAGAGCGACACCGAGGACGACGACCGAAAAGCTTCTTCCGAAATATTTGGCAGCCGCACCGATGCTAGTGGAGAGTTCGATGACCCCGACACAGACGCCGAGCGGACGCCTACTACTGTCCGCGTGCCACACATTCCGGAGAGGAACATGCGACGGACCAGCAAGAAGCCACCTCTTGCTGCCAACTCGAATGTTCCACTCCACCCCATTCACTCGATGCAAGCCGCTTTTGCTGAGTCTCTCCTCGAGGTCACGGACGGGAAGCCAGCAGAGAAGCCCAAAATTCGGTTCGGAGACGCCAAAGCCCGCCGCGAGGAGCTCATAAGCCAGGAACGGGATGAAGAACTCTTGAGCGCTCAGTGGCGGTTCCGACCCGGCCAGCGGCAACATGAGCTCATGAAACTCATGTCCCAGATCTCTTTTGGCGTCTACCTGTTGCTCAACGGCATGGCCAATAGCGCCTCCCAAGTTGTCAACATTCTCCAAGGTCACATCGATGAGGTGGACGAGTTCCTAGAGGTTACCATGGAGGATTTTCAGCAAGCTTCTACCGATTTGAAAGAGCGTATCGATTACCTGCGACTACCTATGGAGAACCTAGAGGTCTTTGAGAAGCTTCTGGAGGATCGCAATTTCCGCCTTCAGATTGTTGAAGGGAACGAGAAGATTGAGCATATCCTCGCTCGCACGAACATGCAACTCGAGCAGTACGATCAGGACATTCAGCAAGGCCTCCTCGTCTGCACGAGAATTTGCCGTCTATCTTCGCAAC